GAAATACAGAAGCTTCACCGGCTTTGCAACTTGTCCGAACCTCGTTCTAAATTTGGGATATGACGCTAACAGAAAAGAAGTCGCATGAAGTGCACACTTCTTCATGATTTAGAAGACTCGGGGAGAAGAGGGATTTCGCAACAGTTTATATACAGTTCACGGAATATCAAAGCGGTAAAAGCAATCAATTAGCACATTAGGCCCAAATAATGTAACAAAATCAGATAATGGATAAAGCCAACTATAAGAATTATTCTAAGCTCGAATTCTTGAACCCTGAACCAGAGATTCTGGGTTCAATCTCCAACAGAGTTGCCAGAGCTGTCACACCTCCTTTTTTTTCACTACACCCCCGACAAAAGGTGTATAAGGGAGTTTTTCCACTTGAAGTGACAATCCAAACAGGATTATTTTATTAAAATTCAGAGTCGTCACTTGGGATAATTTATGGTGTCCAAAGTCACCGGTTTAGAATCTCGAATCGAGGAAAAGATTGACTCTGTATTACAGTCTGCGAACCAGAAATCCAGGTAAGGAATTCTGTTTACCCAGGAGAAGGTGAGGCATTCCCGAGTTCTGTGGTTCTAGCACGGTCGCTCAACTGTTATATCCGGCTTAATTATCTGATTTTAAACGATTATGAACCTATGTGCAAATTTTGACTTTTAACCGCTTTTATTCAATTTTTAAAGAAGATTAAACGTCGTTTAAAACAAATCTTTGGATTGCGCCCCATGAAATGCACCCGCAATCCTAAACATATTTTATTCAACGTTTTAAGAATTGGAATCGGGTCACATGAAATGCACCCCCGAATTTAATAAATAAGGAAAGCAATTTAAATAGCGCGCCTAAAGAAACTACGCACTTTTAAATTTAAAACAAGCTTTGTGAGGGCCACGGAAAATTTAAGAATGGCACACCTCAAATTTAATATAGAAGCTAGCTAGTTTTGTGAGGGCCATGAGATTTGGGATTTTATTTGGCATGACACGCCTCAAATTATTCAAAAGGGGTTTATTATTCGCAGTTGCTATAATCGGGTCACATGAAATGCACCCCCGAATTGAGATTCTCGTATCGTAACCATGCCACAGGAATGGTAGCCATGGCCACAATAATTTTATAATTAGCACGCTTAAAGCAAACCATATTATTTACATATAAATCAGCAATTTATGAAATTTGTAGACAAAATATCTTTTTTCCTTTTTCCAACTTAAATCTACGAAGATAATCATGCATATCAGACATTTGCATGAGATCACACCAATGTTCTTGCTAGATTTATGAAGAATAACAGAATGGATTGAAGATAATCGTGCACATGTTATAAAAACTGATAAATTTATGTCCCAAAATGTTGCACCTATAACCAGGTTTAATCTAAGTAAATATATACATAGATTTTACAGAAAACAAACAAGTGATTGGAAAACTTGAAATACAGAACATTCACAATGACTATAACTCATTATGATTCATAATATAATCAAATTATCATACTAATCTCAAACACGACCCCTTAAACAAACTAGCAAGCAACTCAACATTTTAGAGGTCTTAGAATAAATTCAAACAATACACAGTGACCAAACCAAATCGGCAGACTATCAATCAGAACAACGTCCCATTTGACACCATTTCCTAACAAATTCTGAAAAAAATCACAAATACATAAACCAAAAGAAAGAGATGAACAAATTTTCATTTACATGAATACCACTTCATTCACTCACGGCTAGAAAAATCTAACAGATATTAACAGCCACAGACAAGAAAACGACGGCAAGTCGCGATAACATCCAAAACCGGCAAGGCTGATCTTATGAAATACATAATAACGGCGCCCCAAAGGGAAGATTAGAAAAGATTGTACCCGGCTAATAGAGCGGCAACTGTAAATAGCAGAATCTTTCGTTTATTATCATATAAATGCTTGAGACATCAAAATTACACTGGTCAAGAACAAATTAGGAAGAACGGACCTGAGATAATTTTTCCAATTGCAATCCGAAAATGCTTAACCACAGAGAACTCGGACAGCAACAACAACATTGATGGAACTCCAATTTTGAGACGAAAATAAAAGAAAACGGAAGCCGGCAACGGAATAGTGTATTTTTCGGCTTTGTTTCCGCCGGTTCCCGGCGAAGCTCGCCGGCAATGGAAGCTGAGTGTTTGAGATCTGGAAATGGTTGGGATTTCAGTTCTCTTGCGTGTGTTAACTTCAAGAAAATGAGATGAGGGATTGTTCGTTTGTGAGGTTCAGGGCTGCTAAGTGTGAGGGATTTTCCGATGGGGAGGGTGANAGATTTTTAGGTGTCTTCTTTTTTTATAGAGTCTAAGTTTTTTTGGTAGGGTTTTTAGGTTAAGAGGTATGAGCCTAGGAATTATGGGCTTGAAAATTATGGGCTAGGTTTAAAATTAGGCCTAAAAATGGGTTGCTCGAGCCCAAGTTCTATCCTTGCGAACGAGATTAAAAATACGCTCTCATTTATTAACTAATCCTACTATTGAAATAATTAATAAAATAAAACTAACCGTTAAAACAAACCTATTTTTGGTATTTTCAAATATCATATTAAGATAAAAATACGATACTATTTTTTTATTTTTTAGGATTAAAAATGACTACAAAACATTAATGAACCTATTTTTATAATTTTCATTTTCTTGTAATAAAATAAAGTAAAAGAGTAAAAATGAGTTGAAATAGTTATATTAGGCCTAAATTAAATATTTACGTGCTAAAATATAAAAAATCTTGGGGAGGGTCAAAAATCACATGTCTACAATGCGCAAAAAGGGCATGAGTACACCACGGCGGTACTCAGTAACTGCCAAGCCTAACCTTGGGCGAGTATTGACGAGGAAGGCCAGGGCCTAATTGAGTTCAAATGAAAAACAAGGTATAACAGTATAGAATAAGACAGTAAAACTAAGTGCAACAATAAGAAGTAATACAGGATAGAAAGAACAACCATAGCTACAATAGAGACAAAATAATCACAGAAAGGAATACAGCTCAACAGAGAGATAACAACCGGGGATCTCCCATGATACCGTCCTGTAGTCCCAAATATAAACATCCAGTGGATCTTCCGAGTGTCGTCCCGTAGTCCAACTCATAATGCGCGGGGATCTCCCAGAATACCAATCCGTAGTCCCAAATTTAAATATCCAGTACTAGGGGAATCTACCGGGTGCAGTCCCGTAGTTCCAATATAAAAGTGTAGGGGGGCCTTCCGGAATACAAATCCGTAGTCCCAAAGTAAACATGCAGGGGGCTCTCACGAGATACCATCTCGTAGTCCCAAAGTAAACACACATCAACAACACGAAGAACACTCAATTCAATTCAATTTTCATACCAAGGTAAAGCAGGTGATTCTAATCTAGCATGCTGCACAGAATCCAAATAAGGCAGTTTGAGCAAATAAAACAATTAAATCAATTAGACATGCTTCCCTAAGCTAAAAGTAAGCATAAATTGCAAGTAGTATAGATAGGAAAAGAAGCACAATTATAGTTAATGAATGAAAACAAGATTTTCAAAAATTAGCACAACTATGCACTAGTCACCTCACATACAAGGCATTTCAAATATCAACAATACAAAATCCTATGGGGAGTTCCCATACACAAGGTTAGGCAAGCCACTTACCTCGAACCGGCTCAAAATCAACCCGAAACTACGCTCTCGCCACGATTACTCGACTCCAAATGACCCAAATCTATTCAATTCAATTCAATTGCATAATGTAAATATAACTTCAAGTAACTGATTCCATTAATTAATTCTAAGCTAGTACGCGAAATTAGGAAAAATGACCAAAATGCCCCCAGGCCCACGTCTTGAAATCGGGTAAAATTTACAAATTCAGAATCCTCACACTCTCACGAGGTCATATATATAGAAATTACTCCAATCCGCCATCAAAATCTTGATCCAAAAGCAAAAATTAGGTCTAAGAACTTTTCCAACTTTTCTCTAATTTTTCCATCCCAAATTCGAATTTAAAGGATGAATTTAAGCATAGATTCGTGGAAATTAGTCAAAACCGAGTAAGAATTACTTACCCAAAACACCCAGGTGAAAATCTCTCTCAAAATCGCTAATGCCGAGCTCCCAAATCAATTTCTAATGTTTTGAAACTAAACCCTCGATTCTGCCTCTTTTCTGACCAGTGAAACCGCACCTGCGGTCCCGCTTTTGCAAAGACCAAGTCACACCTGCGACTTTTCATTAAACGGGAACTTTCCGCTTCTGCGACTGCCTTTTTGCACATGCGGTCTCGCAGGTTCGTTCCTCTTCTCGCACCTGCGACGTCTGGAGCTCAGACTAAATTCCGCTTCTGCGGTCACCTAGCCGCTTCTGTGGCGCCGCACCTGTGGTCCCACACACGCAGGTATGGTTATGACTGGTTCAACAATCAGATTTTTGCCTAAGTCCAAAATAAATTTCCGTCCCAAAGCTCATCTGAGACCCCCGGGACCTCAACCAAACCTGCCAACTAAACCTAAAACATCATACGAACTTGTTCCAACCTTTGAAACGCTCAAACAACATCAAAACACCAATTTAACATCGGATTAAAGCCTAAGAACTCCAAAAACTCTGAAATTACACTTTCGATCAAAAAGTCTATCAAACCTCGTCCGAATGACCTGAAAATTGCACACACATCACATTCCACACTGCGGAGCTACTCCAACTTCCGGAATTCCATTCCGGCCCTTAGGTCAAAATCTCACTATCGAATCGGAAACTTCAAAAATTCAACTTCCGGCATTTCAAGCTTAAATAAGCTATGGACCTATAAAACACAATCCGAACATGCCCTATGCCCGTCGGAGCTAACAGAATCGACGGAATCCCATTTCGAGGCTGTCTTCACACTGCTTCGACTATGATCCAAATTTTAAATCTTAAGCTCTCTTTTTGGGACTAAGTGTCCAAAAACTCTCCAAAACTCCAAATAAATCCTCCTGACAACTCACAATAGCAGAAATAAACACGGGGAATGTAGTTAATAGGGGATCGGGGCGTTAATTATTAAAACGACTGACTGGATCGTTACATCCTCCTACACTTAAACATTCGTTCGTCCTCGAACGAGTATAGAGACATACCTGAAGTAGTGAAAAAATGAGGGTAACAGTTGCTCATATCTTGCTCGGTCTCTCAGGTCGCCTCCTCGACCGGTTGACCCCACCACTTAACCTTTACTGATGCAATGTTCTTTGACCTCTGCTTTTGAACCTGTCTGTCCAATATTGCCACTGGCTCCTCAACATAATATAGTTCCTTGTCCAACTGGGCTGAAATCCAACATGTGTGATGGATCACCGTGATACCTCTGGAGCATCAAAACATGAAATACCGGGTGAACTCCTGCCAAGCTGGGAGGTAAGGCAATCTCATAAGCAAACTCCCCAACACGCCGCAATATCTCAAAGCGATCAATAACTCTCGCACTCAATTTCCCTTTCTTCCCAAATCTCATAACGACCTTCATCGGCGAAACCCGAAGCAGAACCCGCTCTCCAACCATATAGGAAACATCACTAACTTTCTGGTCCGTGTAACTCTTCTGTCTTGACTGGGCTGTACGGAGTCTATCCTGAATCATCTTAACCTTCTCCAAAGCATCCTAAACCAAGTTTGTGCCCAATAATCGAGCCTCAGCAGGCTCAAACCAACCCACCGGGGATCTACATCGCCTACCATATAAAGCCTCGTACGGTGCCATCTGAATACTAGACTGATAGCTGTTGTTGTAGGCAAACTCTGCCAATGGCAAGAATTGATCCCAAGACACTCCAAACTCAATCACACATGCACGGAGCATATCTTTAAGAATCTGAATAGTGCGCTCGGACGGTCTGTCCATCTGAGGGTGAAATGTTGTACTCAACTCCACCCAAGTACCCAACTCATGCTGTACGGCCCTCCAGAACCATGATGTGAACTAAGTGCCCCTGTCTAAAATGATGGAAACTGGAATACCATTCAGACGAATAATCTCCACGATATAAATCCCTGCCAACCGCTCCGAAGAATAGGTAGTACACACAGGAATGAAGTGTGTGGACTTGGTCAGCCCATCCACAATCACCTAATTGGCATCGAACTTCCTCAAAGTCCGTGGGAGTCCAACTACGAAGTCCATTGTGATCTGCTCCCACTTCCACTTCAGAATCTCTATCTGTTGAAGCAACCCACCCGGTCTCTGGTGCTCATACTTCATCTGCTGACAATTGAGGCACCAACCTACAAACCTAACTATATCCTTCTTCATCTGCCTCCACCAATAGTGCTGCCTCAAATCTTGGTACATCTTCGCGGCACCCGGATGAATGGAATACCACAAACTATGGGCCTCCTATGGAATCAACTCCTGAAGTCCATCAACATTGGGTACACAAATCCGACCCTGCATACTTAATACCCCATCATCACCAATAGTCACATATCTGTCATCGTCGTGCAGAACCATGTCCTTGAGGACAAGAAAATGAGGGTCATCAAACTGACGCTCCCGGATACGATCAAGCAAGGAAGACCGGAAAACCACACAAGCTAGAACCTAACTGGGCTCCGAAAGATCCAATCTCACAAACTGGCTGGCTAAGGCTTGAACATCCATTGCCATGGGCCTCTCCACTGCTGGTAAATAAGCCAAACTCCCCAAACTCTCTGCCCGGTGACTCAAAGCATCGGCCACCCCATTGGCCTTGCCTGGGTGATACAAAATAGTGATATCATAGTCCTTCAGCAACTCTAACCACCTCCTCTGACGCAAATTAAGATCCTTCTACTTGAAAAGATGCTACAAACTCTGGTGAACAATATAAATCTCACAAGGTATATTGTACAAATAATGACTCCAGATCTTCAAGGCGTAAACAATAGCAGCTAACTCAAGATCATGGACATGATAATTCTTCTCATGTACCTTCAACTATCTGGACGCGTAGGCAGTCACCCTACCGTCCTGCATCAATACTGCTCCAAGGCCAATCCTTGAGGCGTCACAACACATAGTATAAGACCCCGAACCTGTAGGCAATATCAAAACTGGGGTTGTAGTCAAAGCTGTCTTGAGCTTCTAAAAGCTCACCTCACACTCTTCCGTCCACTTGAACGGAGCACCCTTCTAGGTCAGCCTGGTTATAAGGGCTGCAATGGATGAAAACCCCTCTACAAATCGATGGTAATAACCCGCTAAACCAAGAAAACTACAGATAAATGTTGCTGAGGACGGTCTGGGCCAACTATGCACTATTTCCACCTTCTTTAGATCCAC